CGAAACCGGTTTGGCTCGGTGGATGGAATGTTGGCCTGCGGACTGAAGGGTCCCAGGTTCGATTCCGGTCAAGGGCATGTACCTTGGTTGGGGGCACATCCCCAATAGGGGGTGTGCAGGAAGCAGCTGATTGATGTTTCTCTCTCATCAATTTTTCTAACTCTCTCCCTCTCCCTTCCTCTGTAAATATCAATAAAATATATTTAAAAAATAAAAAAGAATCCTAGCCCCTGAAAAGATTGGAAGGTAAGACAGTTGCTGCCCTTGGTGCCAGGTTCTAAGGATACTCCTTCTGGAGGCTCTCTTTTCATATCTCCTTTTATTGTAGAAATGCTGAGCAATGAATGAGCCGAAACCGGTTTGGCTCAGTGGATGGAGCGTCGGCCTGTGGACTGAAGGGTCCCGGGTTCCGGTCAAGGGCATGTACCTTGGTTGCGGGTGCATCCCCAGTGGGTGGTGTGCAAGAGACAGCTGATCGATAACTCTCATCAATGTTTCTAACTCTCTATCCCTCTCTGTAAAAATATATTTTTAAAAATATTAATAAATATTAATAAAATATATTTAAAAAATACTGAGCAATGAGACCATTCAGAGGAAAGAACTCCCATAGATAATAAGTAATTTTCTTGGTAGAGTAACCTGTTCACTTTGATGCCCCCGCTTCCTCCAGGAATTGAGAAGGAACAGCAGGGTTCTGAGCCTCAGCAAACTCTACCCAGAGGGCCTAAGAATTTTTCCAACTCTCTTGGGAGCAGCCTGACCAGAGGGTCTAAAGAAGCAGAAATGAGATTTTGTCATCTGGGTGCTGTTCAGCAGGGGGCACTACTGCACCTCCCTTTTCCCTGGTGAAAAAGCAGACCTCATCCGAGACAAACCAAAGGGGTGTTGAGACACCATGCATTCCTGAGGCTGGTAGATGTCAACAGATAATCTCTTGATCCAGGGAAACAGATGGATTGACTCTGACAGTCTTTCAAAGCAGGATGGACGGGCAGAATGCAGCCCAGTGCTATTGTTTTCATGGTGACCAGCACTACAACAATAGATCCACAGGTCTGTCCGTGTCCTCCTCTTCCCAGCCCTCCCACCTCCTGTACTTAAAATAGGGGGTAATGACTCTGTGTCCTAACCATTGCATGCCTCTTCCCCCAGTTATACAATAATTGGTTTCTAACTTCGTCTCCTATTGAAAGGACCTTAGCCATGGTTTCCCAACAAAGCAATGTGAATGTTCTTACTACCACTGAACTGTACATTTTTAAGTGGTTAAAATGGCCAATTTTTAAATTTTTATTTATTTATTGACTTGAGAGAGAGAGGAAGGGAGAGAGAAACATTAATTTGTTGTTCCACTTATTTTGCATTCATTGCTTGCTTCTTGCATGTGCCCTAACAGGGGATTGAATCCAAAACCTTAGTGTATCAGAAGGACATGCTAAACAACGGAGCTACCCAGCCAGGGCTAAAATGGCTAATTTTATGTTATGTATATTTTCCCACAATTAAAAAAAAAGGTCTTAGACAAACTCAGAAAGGGAGAAAAAAGACGTTTGGACTACCTGTGCAATAGCCTTGACCTTTTTTGTTCAAGCAGTCCTAGCAACTACATGTTCTGGCAAGGTTTCTCAGATAGCCAGAACTCCCTGCAGTTTTTGACTCCTCTCTTTCTTCCCCATATCTCTATCAAAGTAGGATACTTTGTTTACTTGCTTATCAATCTCGGGGCACAAACTAATCTGTTAACTTCCTTTGTACTGGGCAGAGCACCGTCCCCGCAAAAATGCACGTATTATGTTGCTGATGACTGACCCTTGCTATCTACTTTAAATCTTGCTGCCTCCTCCTTATTCAGGGTTTTTCCCCATTCTTTTTTTTTTTTTTTTAACTAATTTGTTTTACAGAGAGGAAGGGAGGGAGAGGGAAATATCAATTTGTTGTTCCACTTATTTATGCATTCATTGGTCGATTCCTGCATGTACCCTGACCCGGGGATTGAATCTGCAACCTTGGTATATCTGGACTACGTTCTAACCAGCTATTGTGAGCTGTTCGAACAGGCCAAGACACCCCAATTTTTACAGACACCTCATTTCTCTTCTTTGGCCCTTTGAGGCAGGAGTGACATTTTTCTGCAAAGGGCCAGGTAGTAAATATTGCTGGTTTCACAGGCCATCGAGTATGGTGACTACTGTCTTGCAGGGTGAAAGCCAATAGACAATACGTAAGTGAATGGTCATGGCAATGCTCCGATAAAACTCTGTACAGAACCAGGCTGGGCCCTGACTGGTTTGGCTCAGTGGATAGAGCATCGGCCTGAAGACTGAAGGGTCCCAGGTTCGATTCCAGTCAGGGGCATGTACCTTGGTTGAGGGCACATCCCCAGTGGGAGGTGTGCAGGAGACAGCTGATCGATGTTTCTCTCCCATGAATATTTCTAATTCTCTACCCCTCTCCCTTCCTCTCTGTAAAAAATTCAATAAAACATATTTTAAAAAGAGGCGGGAGCCAACAAGGTTTATCTGAGGCACCATTTTGCTGCTGAAAAACAATCCATAAGAACAACAAAAACACAGGTTGGGGCAGGATTTACCCCCCAGGTGGTCGTGTGCTGGCCCCAGCTTCCAGGGGGGGAAAAACACGCCTTCCTCCCTGCATCTTCACCAGACCTAACAGATGTTTGCCTCCTGCCCTCAGCCCTTCTCTCCTATTTCATGTTGTACATACCTCATATCGCTGAGGGTACTTACTGACTCGATGGGAAGCTAACAAAGGAGAGGGAAGTTGAGTGAGGTGTTTTTTTTTTTTTAATCCATGGTTTATACATTTAAATGTTTTGGGTGGATTCCTAAATAAATATGAGGGTTTTTTTTTTTCAAATATATATAATATGATTATTTTTCAAATAATCAAATGAATATACTGAGTATGCTTAGGTGGGGGATTACGTGTGTGTATGTGTGTGTGTTGTGTGCGTGTATGTGTGTGTGTGTGTGTGTGTATGTAAAACAGGACAGAATTTATCCCCAGGAAGTTCCCGTATCTTTCCAATGATACTCACATATTATCTAAAATCTCTAGGTCCCATTGACCTCCCAAGATCTTAGGTTAGACTCTTTATTTCTCTTCATTGCTCCTGAAAACACCTGTTCAACCCAAATACTATTTCAGCCTCAAGATTTCCCAGAGATTTGTCACCAACATCTTACAAAATGTTACCAACCTGCGATTGTGCCAGTTTGCAAAAGAGACCCCCATACCTGTTTGTTAGAACCAGGGAGCTCTGTTCATGGATACCTGGCCCCTCGGTCAGGCAACTGCCACAGGCCGCCAGGCATTTGCCCGAAGCCCCAGGGGTAACCTGTGTTTTTTGCAATTTCACGAGAAGGGTGAATTCATAGTTTGCAGTGGTGCAAACTTTTGGGAACTATGAATACACATAATGTATATGATCCTCTTAGTATCTCTGACCTCGGACATGGTCACTCACCACTTCCCCAGGTCATGGAAAGTGGTGAAGAGCCACAGAAGAGCTCAGAAATCTAACAGCAAAGAGGCCAAACGTGAGGATCCGAAAACATTGGTGAATGGCCTACTCTGTTTTTCTAGCTATTTTCCAAAACCAACTGTAATTTTAAAAAACATGCTCCGCCCTAGCCAGTTTGGCTCAGCAGATAGAGTGTCGGCCGGCATACTGAAGGGTCTGGGTTTAATTCCGGTCAAGGGCACATGCCTTGGTTGCAGGCTCATTCCCCAGCCCTGGATGGAATGATGTGTGCGGAAGTTTCTCTCTCTGTCTCTCCCGCTCCATTCTACTCTCTCTAAAAATAGAGTGTTGCCTGTGAACCTAAAGGTCCCAGGTTTGATTCTGGTCAAGGGCATGTACCTTGGTTGTGGGCACATCCCCAGGAGGAGGCATGCAGGAGGCAACTGATCATTGTTTCTCTCTCATCTGATATTTCTAACTCTCTATCCCTCTTCCTTTCTGTAAAAAATCAATAAAATATATTTAATAAATAAATAAATAAATAAATAAATCAATGGGAAAATATCCTTGGGTGAGTATTTACAGAAACAAAAATAAAAAAAATACATGTTCCTATTTTCCTGTTAATTCAGAGCTGAGAATTGACTATTTCCATCAATACCGGGACATTCTTTTGTTGCTAAGATACCTATGGTACTTTTGTATGTAACCTCGCGTTTATCTTTGTGGTAACCTTCAAGTCTGAAGTAAAGGAAAGTAGGTGGTTATGGGATAAAATAAAGTGGAAAAGGGAATTTATTTCCTTTTCAAATGGGAAAGTTCAGCTCTAGAGAAGCTGAGTTATTTAGTCAAGGTCACAGAGTAAGGTCAGGTGTTGGCACCTTTACCCTCTAAGATTACCTCACATCCAAGATCCCATCTTATTTCTATTATAGTCTGTCATTCTAAGGTCCTCTCTGCTGCCCCAGGAACAGTGCTTCCTATAGCATCTCTGTAGCAGGAGGGCAGAGGTCCACATTGGCCAAGAGAAATAACCCTAGACAAGGGCAGGGTCAATGTGACCTCCTTTGTCCCATTGTGAAAACTGAGCCGCCTTTGCTGGGCAGTTAGGACATGAGACTTTCCCTATTAATACACACACCTCCGTGCCAAGCCCTGGACACAAAAGCTAAGAATGTGGCAAGGGGAGGAGGGATACGTGACAGCAGTCTGGACATAGAGTCCCTTCTCTTTGTCCAGGTCCTGGAAAAGATCATTCAATTCCCGGGTTGGGGTGAGACCAAAATAAGAGGCTCCTATGTGTCTTGGAGAAAGAAAGTATTTCAATACATGCCATTAAAAGGATGTGCCAGCATGTGGTTATGTGCTGTAATGTATGTGGGTACCTATGTCTATGTTCTGTGAACCCACAAGTAGGTATGACCAAGTGTGTGCGGAATTTAGTCATACTAACATGAAGATCTTATATGTGTGGGTGAATGCCCCCCTCCACCCCCATCTCTGTAATACTCACGTCCGCTGCCTTCTTCTCTGCCAGCTCCAGCTTCTCCTGCGCGTCCTTCAAAGCCTCGGAATACTTGTCCAGCTCGTCTTCTGTCCCTTTCAGCTTCTTCTGCATCGCCGCCAGCTCATCTTCTAACTACGGGAGCCGCAAGAGTCACACACAAGACACGCGTACACAACAGCGCCAGGCTCAGGCCCTGGGACCTTGAGCTCAGACCCCTGAGCTGTCACCAGAATGACACACTTTCTCTCCAGTGACTTCCAGCCAACTGCCCCAGGAGTTTTACTGGCCTTGGCCTGTGACCCTGTGACCTCTGACCCTAAGATGATTTAGTTAGAGTTCTCATCTAAGACTCTGGGATAGTAAATATATTAGGGGATAGGTACCTATAACTCCATCTAAGGGAAACAGAATTGCTATATGCCACGCGCCTGCATTTTTCTCTAGAAATGGGTATTCTTCCAAAATGTGATCTAGCCCTAATTCGTTTGGTTCAGTGGATAGAGCATTGGCCTGCGAACTGAAAGGTCCCAGGTTCGATTCCGGTCAAGGGCAAATGCCTAGGTTGTGGGCTCGATCCCCAGGGGGGACTTGCCAGAGGCAGCCGATCCATGATTCTCTCTCATCACAGATGTTTCTATCTCTCTCTTCCTCTTCCTTCCTCTCTGAAATCAATTATATATATATATATATATATATATATATATATATATATATATATATATATATTTAAAGGACAAAACACAAAATTGATCTATTCTCACTTAAATCAAGGGGAAACGCTACAGCTCAGAAGGGGCCACTAACTTTCCCTCGGTCACACAGGCAGTCTGAGCTGGGTACCCTCGTTGTCCTCTGCCTATCCAGGAAGGCTGAGGAAGCAGAGGAGTTTCTTCCACCCCAAAAAAAGGTACCAGTGGTCACTGCCTTTTCCGTGAAAACTCTTTTCCACTGCCCCGTCCTGCTCACCAGCAGGTGAGAAACCCCGGCACCAGGGCCTACCTGTTTACTTCTTTCCTCGGCCTGCTTCTGCTCCGCCTCCGCTTGTTCCGCCCGGTCCAGAGCGTTCTCCTTGTCCAGCTTCAGCATCTGCATCTTCTTCTTGATGGCCTCCATCATGAGCGGCGGCCGCTGGGGAGCTCACCTGGGAACGCTAGAGAACTGGAGACTGGGGCCCGAAAGGAGGTGCCGCTGGCTGAGTGACGAGGAGTCCCCCAGACTTGAGCCTTTATCTCTGCTCGTGGCTCCACCTCTTGTTCCTAATATAGTCCTTCCAGGGCCCTCCAGCCCATCATTGTTCTCCAGGGGGAACACAGGGTGAGACGCTTCATGGACTGACATCACCAGCAAAGAAAAAGTTGGGGAACAGCTGAGGCCGATTTTAGACAATGGAAAGTGGGGGAGGGGAGAGGCTCTCTCTGACCCTGAAACTTTCCACTCACTCTGGGCAGCCAGAGCAGGGATGCGGGAGAGGAGAACACTGACATAGAGAAAGGTACTTTGGTGATTCTAGACTGGTCGTTGTCTCTCAAAGGGTCCTACTTTCACCTGGACTGTGTTGGGTGCTGATCAAATGCCACCACTGAATGTTACCTTTTGGTTTCTGGTGTTCGGGAAGCTTGAGCAACAGTGCAAAGGGGAGGTCACTCATGATCCTGAAAATTCCCCCAAATCCCCTGTTCAAATGACTGTGTTATTTTGAGAGTCTCTACTTGGCAGGGAGACCTGTTCCTCCCCCTGAAGAGCCACAGGGATGGGGTAAGAGGGAAGGGGGACGTCTGGAAGGCCATCCCAGAGCTTCAAGTGGGGTGGGGGAGAGAATCAGGACATGGTCCGAATAGTCTAGATAGGACCATGCCCTCTGTTTTCACATAGTGATCTTTGTTCTTTTTAAAATATATTTTATTGATTTTTTTACAGGGAGGAAGAGAGGGATAGAGTTAGGAACACCAATGAGAGAGAAACATCCATCAGCTGTCTCCTGCATGCCTCCTCTTGGGGATGTGCCCGCAACTAAGGTACATGCCCTTGACCGGAATTGAACCTGGGACCTTTCAGTCCTCAGACCGACGCTCTATCTACTGAGCCAAACCGGTTAGGGCCCATAGCGATCTTTATTTGTTTTTTGTGTTTTTTTAAATATATATTTTATTGATTTTTTGTACAGAGAGGAAGGGAGAGAGATAGTTAGAAACATCAATGAGAGAGAGTCATTGATCAGCTGCCTCTTGCACACCCCCTACTGGGGATATGCCCGCAACCAAGGTACATGCCCTTGACCGGAATCGAACCCGGGGCCCTTCAGTCCCCAAGCCGATGCTCTATCCATTGAGCCAAACCGATCCCGGCCATAGCGATCTTTAAATAGAACTTTGATACCCACACACACCAGGCTCTGTGCTGCTCTCTCCTCTTCTCACCCTCTGCTCCCTTCCTATCCTCCACCCCCACCTCCCACACACTCATCATCCTCATCATCATCATTGCCAGCTTTATTCTCCCCAGCTTAGCTCCAGGCCATGTTTACTCTTCCACTTGGAGGCTTGTCATGGACAGGTGGCAATTGATCCCATTACACTGGCACCGTACAATCCGAGAACCCGCCAAGAGAGAGGGGGACACTGTTCAAGGTGACCGGAGCTATCAGGGGAGAATATAAATGGCTCTCGTTAGTCATTGTGCCAAGGATAGGATGAGCAGTGTTAACACTAAGCCCCAGCAATGAGGGAACTGAGACAGAGCGCAGAACTGGAGTCCACTCTGGAGAGCTTCCAGTCACTAGAGGTCGATGGGCAGATAGACCATCAGCTAACTCTTGAAGGAAAGCAGAGACATGAAGGACTCCTACTGTGGGACTAGGAAACAAGACAGTCCCCGGGTTGGGCGGTAGTGGGTAAGAAAGGGGGCTGGAGGGGGTGGGAGCCGGCTGGGAGAGGTCAGTAGGAAGAAAAGGAGACATAACACTTTCAACAATAAATAATTTTTTAAAAGGGGTTGCATTTTGGATAAAGAGGAAAACACAAAGGACAGGGAGAAGATCAGAGCTATATCACTTCCGGTACAAGGAAAAGATACAGGAAGGTTAGATACTCAAATCAATGCCAGCTCCCTTCTGCTCTCTACCAGCCCTCCAGCTTAAGATTGGAATCCATGTATGATAGGCTGTTCTTCCCAATGAGGCCTGGAGAGGAGAGGTTCAGTAAAAATCATGGGAGCCCCAGACCCCCAGAGTAGGAGAGAGTGTGATGCCACATTGCCCACTGCTGTAAGAATATGTTTGACATGTAGTTGGTTTCTATTTCAACAACCCAATATCAAACATATCACACAGAAACAGGCAGGAGAGCTTTGGTGGCCATCCGCCCCTTCCTCCTGCAAAGGCAGGCTGGAGCAGAGGCACCGGGCACCAAGAATGGCCGGCTGGAGGCCCCTCCTTGATAAAGGGCACCGACGCCTGCTCTTTGCCTCTCAAGACGGCGGGCCAGTTCTCACTCGTCTGCCCTTCGTGCCACCCCTGTCTCAGCATCTCTCTTCCCAGCGCCTGGCCTTTGCGGGGTCACGTTGGCCTAAACCAGGAAGATATCCGGCCCGGCTCTACCTCTGGGCACCCGTCCTTCCCCAAAGCTGCACCCAGAGCTTCTCCCCCGAAGTCACGGCCACAGCGCCCAGGGGATCGGGAGTGTCAGCAGCTCCTCCTCAGCCTTGCCACCTGCTCTCCTCCACTCCCTTCCAGCTGCCCCGGGGCTTTTCTTGGAGAGTGGGGGTGGGGGTGGGGAGCATGCATTCTGCTTTACTCTCCCAGCAGAAGCCCTGACCTTCCCAAGTCACCTCCACAAGACAGCTGAGGGCCTCTCCGTGGACACCACCCGGCACCTTTCTGCTCTCGCGTACCCCAGAGGAGTAGCTGTGAGAGGGAGAAACTTCCAGAATGCTTGGCTGCTTCTTCCCACCATCTTCAGTCCCTTCTCACCTTCTCCCAAAGCCCTCCAGGTCCTTCTTAAAGTCACCCTTGCTGTCAGGCAGAGGAGAGTGACGTGCCTTATGAGCAGGCTCCAGCCTGGGCTCCAGAGACGTCTGGGGCTCGCCCGCCTGGCTCTCCTTGAAACTAAGACTCGAGGAGGTCAAGGGTGAGGGAGGAAACCCTCTACCAGGAAGCAGCCTGCAGTCCTCAGGGCTGTCCTCTTCTGAGGCGGCTCACAGCCCCGGCCGGCTGCTCTGCCGGTCTCCCCTCCCAGGCATGCAGCCTGGGTAGTTTCTGGGAGGTTTGAAGAGAATCAGATCTGGTGACTGTCATGTGGCAGGCAGATGCTTCTCCCTACTATGGCCGCAAGGAGCCCAAGTTATAGCTACACTAGAGGTGGGGGTGGCGGGGGGCTTGGGTGGAGTCTGGGGGTGGGAGGAGGTTGCTCTGCTTTAGCCCCTGGGCCTGTTCCATGTGTCCTTGTTCCCATTAGTCTGGACACCCCCCCCCCCACTCCCATGCCCTCGGCCCTACATATACCAACACCACCACAGTGCCCTTGATCTAGATAGCTAGCTTGTCCCAAGCCCCAGTCGATTCCTGTCGTGTGGCTCTTGCCTTCCAGGGGGAGGCGAGCACATGGGTGTGAAAGCCCCAAGGGAGGCAACCGTGGCCTTGTCTTAGGGCTTGTTCCTGTATGATTCGCACTGACCTTCCCCTTTACTCTGACTCTTCAAGTCCTAGTTCCCGTCTCTGAGAAAGTTGACTCCCCGCAGAGCCTGGGCCAAAGGCCGGGGAAGGGAGCAGCGGGAACTGAAAGGACTTCCATGTTTGGGGCACTGGGGTCACCGATGCAGAGACAGGAATTTGGATGTAGGGGAAGCACATCTCTCCTAAAAGGAGGCTCTGGTTGGCATAGCGAGGCAGCAGCGTCAGAGGGCCTCGGATGAGAGCTTTTGTGCTCGGGAGTCCCGGAAGTACCTTCCATGCAGCCATTTCATTCCCGGGGAGCTGGGTGAGGCACCGGCCACGGAGGGAAAAGGGACTGGATGGGTGAACTACCCCGCTGACGTGATGAGAACAGACAGAGTAGGCTGGGAGGACCAGAAGTGACGGGCTTTGTAGGGGGCCAACCTGCCAATACCGGAGCCAGCCTGGCACTGACAAGCCCTGGGGAAAGAGGCCAAGGTCAGGGATTGAGGCCGAGGGGGCTGGGTATTCTGTGGGTGCAAATGAACCGAGGAAAGAGAAAGAAAAGGGGTTGGGGAGGGAGTGTGGTGGGAGGTGGGGTGGGGTTGGGGAGTCATTAATGGAGACAAAAAAATAAATAAAATTAAAAAAAATGGGTTCTGGCCAGGTAGCTCAGTTTATTAAAGTATCAACCCACTACACCAAGGTTTCAGTTTTTGTGTGTGTTTTGTTAATCCTCACCTGGGGATATTTTTTCATTGGCTTTTCAGGGAGAGTGGAAGAGAGAGGGAAAGACAGAGAGAAACATCGATGTGAGAGGAACACATCGATTGGTTGCCTCCTGTATGTGCCCCCATCAGGGCCTGGGCTGGGGAGGAGCCTGTAACCGAGGTACATGTCCTTGACAGGAATCAAACTGGGGGTCCCTCTGGCCAACGCTCTATCTACTGAGCCAAATCCCCTAGGGCCGGAGAGTTTGACATACTTGCCCTAAATATGTTGTCTTACTTAATCCTCTTAATAATCCTAGGAGGAGATGGGAATTATTGTCCCTGCTTTCAGAAGAGGAAATGGAGGCGCAGAGAATTAACTTGTACACAATGACAACAATCAGAAGCCAGACTTTGGACCCACACTACACTCCAAAGCCTGTGCGCTCCTCCACCCCTTGCTGCTTCGTGCTCCCCATCAGCAGGGTATGTAGGGAGAGAAGGAAGGAGAAGCTCTGGCAGTTGAGAAATAAGGGGCTCCTTTGCCTCCAAATGGGCAACCGACTCAGGCCTGCGGGTGTGGAGGCTGCCTCTGAGCCGGCTCCCAGTGGGCTGAGGCAGAAGGTGCTGGAGCCCCGGCTCCAGTGGAGGCGGCAGGAAGGGAGTGGGCTTTGCTCCCCATCTCCCCGGATCCAGAGCTACAGGGGAGAGGGGACTCTGGTGCCCTCTCCCAGCGCCTTCGTTTCCCTCTGTTGTGTGTCATGGCCACCAGGCGAGGCTTTGTTCGCAGAGAGTACTCAGTGTGCAAACCCTCTGAAGTCCC